CATATTAGCCTTTCAATGATTAAAATTAGGTCTCTATTTTTGCACCAGAAGGTAATGATCGTCAATCATCCAAGGCCCTTCTTAGAATGCACAGTTACGATCTTCTTTCGTAGCAAAAGAGACTGTAAAATATCCATTATTCAGTGGAATTATTTTGATCTCCCCTTACGATTTCTTTAGAATCTCTACACCAAGCAACTTAACAATCAACAAATTAGCGCAAGGTTTACACTATAAAATATATTCTTCTTCTTTAGACTCCTTGTCATTTTGTACCTTTTCCTTTTTACTGTTTTTCATGGAGAAGTAAGCTTTCTAACCATTAACCATGTCTTCCTCTTCATCATGTTTCACTAGAAACCCCACACCTCTCACAACAAGAATTTTCTCTTTATATGATGCAGGGAAGCTTCTTCGGTGCATAGGTTTTGCTAACACTTGTGGTTCTATTGCTTTCCTTTCAGGCTATATTGTCACTGATTTGCTGAAGACAAACGTAGTCGGCAACCTCTCATGCACTTTGTCTTTAACTATTTGACTCTTAAAGGAAAGCGATACAACCTAAAAGGAAAGTGATGGAATCACAAGTGTCGGCAGAACCTATGCACCGAAGAAGTTTCCCTGCATTGTATAAAGAGAAACTTCTTACTGTGGGAGGTACAGGGTTTCTAGTGAAAGGCTGTATCCCCTTCCCCTCTACTATCACTACCCTTCAAAACCCTACCATCACGAATGTTTTTTTTTAGAAATGATGTGTAAATATAATTTAAATAAATATAGATTTAAAAATAAGGTCAAACTTGCCACCCATCTCTACATGAAAGATTTTCATGTCGCTGTGGCATCGTCCGTGAGCGGTAGTGCTTGTCTAATTTCTTTTAAAGTTGCTTCTAATTTTTCTATAGGAAAATATGCTACATCTTATAAATAAATATTGGTCTAGTTAATAAAAATTTAGTCTAAAAGTTGTGTAGGATTAAATCTCACTATTAAGCACCTCTCTAAACACTCTTTAAACTTAAAGATTTGTTCTAATAAGCGGCCCGATTCATTTTATTCTTTTTATATTAAAAAAAAGAATGAAGCTTCCATATTACTAAGGGCAAAGTCAAAAAATTTTTTTAGGGGGTTGAGATGAAAAAACATATATAATAATAGAAGAAAAATTAAATGTATAAATATCACTAATGTAACATAAATATTTCAACATACATATTTATATTTAATTTTACAAATATATAAAAAAATAAATTTATACTTTTAATTTTTAAGTTTTGCTTATTGATTTTTTATTGATAGTATCATGTCAATGATAAAATTTTTAACAATTTTTTTAATATAAATCATTATTAAATTGGTGAAGATTTCATCTTTTTCACAAGCATTCAATTATTTAAATGTATCATTGAGATTTAAAGTTTTGTTCAATTTAAAAAACCCTATTACTTGCTTACAAAATTTATTATTTAATTCCTTCAATTAATAATTATAGTAAATAAATATATCAACATGATAATGATGTTCAATTGTCACAAATTCTTTATGTCAATGAAATATAAGTATATCATAGTAAAAATTGTTCATATAATAATTTTAATAGCCTAGTTATTATAGAAAAAGTAATTTTTTTTAGAAGAACATATTTTAACTATACCTTCTTAACTTTTATATAGATAATTTTATGACAAATATCAATCATATAGCATTCAATGTATCTTGAAATTTTTGTTATATCTTAAACAAAATTTGTGTTAGTAACAGTTCTTATAATTTATTTCATCAAATATAAAATGAATGCAAAATCAAATGACATCCATACTTTAAGAGCTGATGTAGCTTATCTTGTTAAAAATAAGTAGATCATATAATAACTATATATTTAAGCTACTGAAGCAATTGGATCATATATGTATAAAAAAACTATATATATGATTGAAATGAGAATTTTATCTAATATTTTAAGGTTTATAAAATATGCCAACTTAAAAGTTGAAAATATATAACCCATACATTTTACTAAGAAAAAATTAAAAAGTTAGAAGGACTAAGGTGGTCACTCCCTATCTTCACCCCTATAGATTACCATATTAATGCATGGTTGGGAGTTTGAACTTGATTTATTCAATTTTCAAATATTTTTATTAATTTTTTAATATATTAGGAGAGTTTAAGCTATTGACCCCTACCTACATCTCATCTACCCTTGTTAATTAGTCTCATATGACTCTTTTATCACTTTTATCTAAGATACAAAAAGATATTTCTCAATAAGAGAACTCAACTATTTTTACTATGTTGTTTATTTTTACATGTTGACAATAATAAGAGTGCAATTTAATGTCCCATTTTATTTGGCAATGTAGAATAAGGCTATCATAAGTTCATAACCTCTAGATCTTTTTTTTTTTCCAGCCAGAATAACCTCTAGTTATTGCTAATATAGCCAATGAGGAAAATAAATTAATGGAGCATAATAATTTATACATAAAATGAATATCAATATTTTTAATAAATAATTTTAAATCTCTATTAAATTATATTAAGAGTAAAAGTTAATAAATTTATTACTAAAAAAAAACTCATATAACATACCATTATAATGACATGAAAGACTTTGTTTATATAAATAATTTTTTATATCTATTAGAATCAAGTTTTATAATTTTTTTAAATAAATTTATCTTTTGTATGGTAGAGAACTTTTTGTGATAAATTTTTTTCTAAATTATTACATTTTTGTTTTAAAACTATTATTTCCTCTAGATTATAATATAGGGCATTTTTTAAAAATTTTGCTTAATTCAAAATATAAGACATTTGATAATTTATATATATATATATATATATATGTATATATATATATATATTCAGTTATATTATTATTTTATTATATTATATTTCACTCAAGTAATTAATGGAGGTGTTTTAAATGTGTTAATGTTTTATTTATTCAGATTAATAAGCAAATAAGATATTAAATTATTGTTCGAAAATCATCCTGAACCCTAAACTTTTAAAATATATAAAATAAACCTAAATTTTTAAATTCATGATAAAATAAACCCTAATCATTAATTTTTCAATACCGTTATTATCTATGCAAGTATTGTTCAGGGTTTATTTTCTTACAAATTTAATTTTGACTGTTACAATACTCATATGAACAGTAATGATGTTAAAAAAGTTAATAATCAAAATTTATTTTGTTATGAATTTAAAAGTTTATCGTTTATTTTGCATATTTTAAGAGTTCAGGATTCAGGATAATTTTTAAATAAGAATTCAGAGTTCCATTTGCTCATTAACTTTATTCATTCCACTTAAGGATATGATCGAAAATATGTAAAAAATTTTTAAAAGTCAAAATTTTTAACCAACTTTTTTTAAAAACACGAATTAGTTAACAAGGACTTATATCATGATATAAAAAAAATATTATTTAAAGTTATAAAACATATCAAATCTGGGATAATAAACTTTTTAATGGAATAACTAAAATTTTGTAAGGGGACAAGTGACAATTTTTGAAGTGATGGAGGCAAATGGAAATTTTTAAAAGGGGCAATTAAAATTATTAAAGGTCATTCTAAACATACATACATATATATTTGGTTGTGGGGGAAATCGCCGTTTTTTCAATAATAATATTGCGTTGCCTCAGTTTTGTAGAATTATTACACGGACAATTATTTCATGCATCTGACAGCATAATATATATTTGGAAAAACAGCAATCAAGGATTACTGCATATAATTTACATTAATGAATGATCAATTGACTTTAAAATTATATTATAATCTCTTAATTCTTGTCTAATATTAATTTATTATGTTAAAAAGATCAAATTATTCCTAAAATATTAAAAAAAAAACACCACCCACTGTCGCCGCACGCCGGATCCTTGTTGGCGATGAGGTCTTGGTAAGGTCATTGGTGGTCAGTCACTGAAACTCTGACTCCAACGATATTTTTATTCAAGAATATTTGTTAATAAAGAATTAAGATGTGCAATTATATTTATCATATCCATTTTTTTAACTTGTTAAAGTCGAATGGACAGTTATTAATTTTAAATGAGTTGTTGTTTGAACCTAAATGGATATTTGATATTGATGAGTAAAAGCACAAATTTAATGGAATAAGTGTATAAACAACAAGTCATTTTATTAACAACAGTTTATTTGGGCTTTAATAAGTTAGAAAAATGGATGAATAGGATGAGCATAATTGCACATGTTAATCTTTCATTAACAAGTATTCATTTTAACAACTCATTCTAAATTAATCATAGTTCATTTAGGCTTTAACAAACTAAGAAAATGAAGCTTAATTGTACAAGCATTAATACTTCATCGACATGTATACATTTAGATTTTTACAAAAAATTATTTGAAATTTATAACAATCTGTTCATGTTTTAACAAATTAAAAAAATTGACATGATGAGTTTAATTATATGTGTTAGTCCTTCATTCGTAAATATTTATTTAGGTTTTGACAACAACTTATTCAGAATTAATAATAATATATTTGAACTTTTAACAAGTAAAATGTATAAAGTTTTAAAATTCTTAAATTGTTATTGTTTATGTCAGATTAAAAAGCAGCAACATTAGTAAAACAATAAATACTGTTTAGTAATTCACCATATACCATTATATTATAACATGAAAGTAATTAAAATTTTAATTTATTATTTTTTTATAATATATAATTAAAAGATTTGGTGATCACGATCAATAAATCATGAGATCAAACTCTCTTTTAACTGCATAAATCAATTACCTTTGAATAAAAATATTCTCAATTCTAGAAGTTTGATGACAGCTCTCGTGACCTTACCGTCGATAGTAAAGGTTGGCTTTTTTTCTTTTCCTCTCATTTTTATTTGATCTTTTAATGTAATAAATTAACATCAGATGAAGGGGCTGCAGGATAATTTCAAAGTCAAAATAAATTTTATCCAATTTTCCTTAGCTGCTACTTTCCCTATAAATTTTAAGAAATTTTTTTACTAATCTTTTTACCTTGAATCTTTTTTCAATCATGGAAACCTTATGAACGCAACTTTTTCCAGTCAAATATTTGATCTTCTTGCGCTCTCTTTCCTACTGTTTCATCTCTTAGTCTGCATTGAGCTGCTGCAGTGTCAGCAAAATTTGCCAGAGACGTTCCGTGAAGAAGCGATCGACAAGATTCCTTTTGGCGATCAGAATTCAGACGACTTTGATGATTATGAAGAACTTTGGTTGTTGCGGCTATTTTTCTTCCCACTTATGATTGTTCGTTCATTCCGTTCCTCCTCAGCTTCTTCGCAATGAACTTGAGGTATTCCTAATTCCGCTTGCTTATGCTGCTTAGAATGGGGGCAAAAATGGCTTTGGGATTATTAGAAGCGAGGTTGTTGAAGAACGTAATATGGTGACATCATTATTAGGAGCAGAGTTGTGCGCATGGCGGCATCATTTTGCCATTTGCTTGTTGAGTAGGGTAAACTGCAGAAAAGAAAAAAAGCACTTCAGTGAATACTCTGAAAACAAATAATTATCAGAGTTTCTATATTCTGGTTATGGGTTAAAAAAAACCCTAAGCGCAGGATGCTAAGCAAATTTTAAGCTCAAAAGACCACTCAAATTCTTAAATGGATACGTAATTTTCAAATAAAAGCACCTTAGTAACGAAATCAGCTTGGCCCGCCTAGTGTGATAACGCTTGTTGTTGTAGTTGTTGCAGTTGTTGTAGTACCTAAATCAAATTGAAGACTTATTTAAGAGACATTTGCTACAATGATGGAGTTAAATTGTAGGGTATAACGTCATGGGGTTTATGAACTAAACTTTGGCCCGTGCATTTCACTCAACTATTATTTCTTTAAGGATGAAATAGTAGTTATTGGCAGTGTCATGTTGCATGAAGAAATATGTTCCTTTTTGTCCTTTTGAAGTTGTTTGTTTATATTTGGAACCCATGTTTATGATGTTATTAAAAGAAAAGTAATATCTATTTATTTATATTTGGAATCCATTATTTGCACATGGGTTATGCTTTATGGGTTCTATTCAAATCCATACTATTGTTGGATCATGCTTATCCTTCTTCCGTTCATATTTATTTATCTTTAATTAGATCATTAGCAGCTATGTTCAGCACATTTTTCTGCCTAGTACCTTCTATCACGTGTACTTCACAGCAAAAGCTTCTAAAATCTGTAATAATTTATTTACCCCTGAATATGTATCTGCTGCTACTAAGCTTAATCTTTCAGTGAATGATTTCAATTAACTGGCAAATAATTTTTACTTGAGAGAAATGATGAAGTTATTCCACAGTTAGGTTGACTTGTAGTATTAGCAAAACTGATTAGAATGGCCTATTTTTTCAAGATTTTTAAGGATTTAAGTTTGGATGCTACTCTGATGAGATACGTCAAACAATTTTAATGGATGATTTTACACTCTACGGTAAGTCACTTTCCGGTCTTGTTCAGACTGTATCAATTGGCATAGTGATGACAGAACAAACATACTATCTCCAACGCATCAAGAACATATGAATTCTGGAATGCGAGAGTTTCATTGGAGCTTATTAGTGGGATAAACATTGACTTTAATCTATTGTGTCATAGGAAAAATAATAATAGTAATAAAATAAGTATAATTGTTAGATATTATAACAAAACTGTTAATGGGCTCTGACATAAATGTGTAAGCTCTTTAGTTGAAATAATCCTTAACGTAGTGTCAAAGTTCATATGAACTTGTAATTAAGAGTTTAATTCTTGCCACCGTCCATTTTCTCAAAACTAAGTTTTAGTATAAGGTGTAGTGGGTCTTTGCCCTACCCACACTTATAGCCAAAATTGCTTATTTATATGTGAAGGGGGTGTGTTACAGGTTATAATAAAATTACTTATGAGCCTTGACTTAAAAAGGTTAAGCTTTTGGGTTGATGTGGTCCTTGACAGTGACGAGAACATAATTTTTGCATGTGGTGAGTGCATTATAACATCAGTTTCCTGGTAAAGAATCCATGACATTTATAAGATCTTAATAGTCATTCATTTGCTGTTTAAGATCTTAAATAGCAACCTTATTGTGCAATATATGGCTGCAGTCTTTGAGATTATTGTTACCACTCTCCTCTTTTTTCTTTGCTATCTTGGGCTACTTGAAACACATTTGATGTTTGTCTAACCCAAGCTGATGTATATCTTAGCGTCTTAGCAATATGCAAATAATTATTTTTAGTTGCTTGTACCATGGTATTTTTATGTATGTGTCTCTTTGCACTTGCTGGACAAATTTGTGCCTGAATGTAACTTACAAAACGTCATCAGGCCTTTGCATACCTTTAAAATATACAGACTTCCGGTCACCACTTGAGAAGATTCTTCATTGGCAGTTAAACAGTTAATTGTAAGCCAACTGCAGCAATGATCTTCATATAGACTTTTCTTTTACTTCATTTATTGCTGTCTATGACTTTACCAGGCATAAGTGAACTATAAATAATATCAATGTGAAATGATGCAATACTGATCATTATAAGATGTCCCCCTCAAAAGTGGAACACTTCTTGAATGCGTCTGGGGGATGCACATGGTGCTTGGAATGTGGCCATATCATTTTTTGGTTTATGTTGCCATTAGCATCTCTGCTTTTCAAATAATTTATAAAATTTTTATTTTTCAAATTAATTTTTACGATGTGTTGAAACATGAGGGTGAGCTTTTGTTTCTTTTCATTTTTATGAAAATATTTTTTTTTTCCACTATCCTACTCACTGAATTCTTTATTAACATCCAACTCTTGTACAAGGAAATTCCTACCTACTCATCATATGAATCTAAATACAATACAAAATTCTTTTTAGGGCAACTTCTTTTCAATATCTTATGCTCAGAAGTCTGCCAGCTTACATTCCTATTATCATCAGATCCTTTTGTGTGTTTCATTGCAGTAATCTTTGCTCCTTGACCATTTAGAGCAGAGTTGTCAGAATATATGGTGCTTTTGTGTGTTAGAATCTTGTCATGAATAATTGTTAATGCCGTGCTAGTCAATTTGGCACTGATTTGTATTTGATTATAAGTGCCTTTGACAGGAGATGGGCCCCAGTGGTTCTATGTGCTGATCCTCCAATATCTGTTGCTAGTGTCAGCTGCAAAGCAACAACAATAATTAGCAAAATCATTACGCAGGAAAGTAGAAACTATTTTCTATATTAGGTAAATTTATTTTTTGCATATAAAAGCTTCATCTGTAGTGCTTATTTCCCCCCCAAAAAAAAAAGCAAGAAGAAGGAGAAGAAGTAGAAGAAGAAAAAAAGCTACAACTTTTGTATTCAAATAGATGAAATAATGCCACTCAAAGGAGAAAATCACATGGTTTTCATATAAGTTTATTTGGCTAAGATTTACTACCATGTGAGAGATGATAGAACTTCATGACTTCAATCAATAATTTGTGTTGCATTTAATTTCAACATGATATAGTCGCATAAATTATTAGCCCCCTTGTTCAGTACTCCAGCCATCTATCTGTAATTTTTTGTTGAGTGGTTTCAGACCTGAAGGAAATATCTGATTGTATGCATTCTGGTTGCATCTATGTGAAAGTTGGTTCTTTGTTGAGAGGTTTCAAAAACAGAAATAGAAAGTTTTCAGAACCAATGGATTATGGAGTACCAAAGGTGGTCGCCTGTGTTGTAAATTTCATTGGGTGATATGTATGGCACTGATTAGTGGAAATGGTCTGGAAGCTACTAAGCACCATTCCCCCTTTATTTCTGATGCAGATGCTGGAACTCTTGACCAGTGGCATATTTCTCTTCTTCCAGTTTCCTTTTGCTTTTATACTATTTTGTGAATGGTGGTGCTGAACAAATATAAAATAATAACAAAAGAAAGATAAGATATGATAGAGTTTCGAGATAATGGGTGATTTGGGAAGATATATATTGTAAATAAATATTATTTTTAATTTATTTTAGATATTTTCTATTTAATAATATTTTTTAATTTTTTTAGATTTTATATAGATATTTAGATATTTATTTAGATATCTATATATTTATCCAGATATATAATAATTTTATATAGATATATAGATTTTATTCAAATATTTATTTCTTTAGATTTTATTTAGTATTTTATATAGGTATAGATTCTAGGAGATTTTATCCAATTTCATTTAATTATCTAGTTATCAAGATTTTATTCATTATTTTAGATTGTATTTAGCATTATAAATACGCTTAGCAACTTAGAAGTATAGAATGATATCCTTTGGATATCATTATATCATGGAAAAAACAGACTTTTGAAACTTTTGGCCCTTTGGATATTCTCTTAAGCGTGATTATTGAAAAAAGTATAGAATGATATCCTTGTGTTATATCATCTTGATGGATTTGTTTCTTCTATTTTCTTCTACCAGTTCTATGTTAACTTATTAATATTATGAAGTTAGATTCTGATTTTATATGTTAATAAAGATTTATCTTCCTTATTTTTCTCTATCCATCTTAGATCCTATCATTTGGCATCAAAGCCGTTTGATCCAAAGATGGTACCTACCTATTCCACATGCCTTTTTCACAAATTCACATTTTCACCACCTATCCCATCCTATTATCATCCATCTTCTAGAAACACATTTTCCCAAGTATAATGGTGGAGATCCACAACCATGGATTTTAGAGGCAAAAAATTATTTTCAATATTATCACACTTTTGAAGACTTCAAAGTTGATATTGCAATGAGGCATTTAGAGGGAGACGCTCATGTTTTCTTCACTTCTATTAACACGGAACATACAATTCTCTATTGGGAAGAATTAGTGGAGTTGTTACTAGAAAATTATGAGCCTCTAAAATTTCAGAACCCAGATGAGTTCTTATGAAGCATCGAGCAAACTGGTTCTGTGCAGGAGTATCGGTTAGAATTCGTTAGGCACTTTGCTTATGTGAAGAATTGGCTAGAACATTGCCTCTTGGAAGTCTTCATCAAAGGCCTCAAGGACAAGCTCAAATCTGATGTTCGGATTCATAAACCTAAGACAGTTTATCGGGCTGTTAGTTTGGCCCTTGAATGAGTTAAAAGTCCAAAATTTTTGCAGGCTCAAAACTGCCCAGCAGTCCCTTTGTTTCCTTCAGTCTCTTATCAAACAGCACGTGACTTTAAAGAGACATCAGCATCGACTTCAAACTCGTTTCGTCACAAGCCAACATCTAAAATGGCTTCCATGGAAGCCAAATAGCAGCGACAACAAGAGATGGGAATGTGTTTCAGCTGTGGTGAGACTATCAAACCTGGGCATCACTGCAAGGGATCTTTTTCACTGCTGGAAATTACTGAGGAGGGAGAAGAAATTATTCCTTCCCTTGAAGAGGACAAAATCATGGAGATGGAACCTAGTGGGGTTGAAATTTCCCTCAATGCTATTCTAGATAGCAACAACATCTCTGCAAAGAAGCTTTAAAGGAGCTTCTTTGAATGCCAGGTTGAACTTGGTGGATAGTAGGTCTAACTACAACTTTTTCCTTGAAGTTCCCATGCAGCCTCTTCTTTGACCTTTTGGAATCCACATTGGACATACTGCTATTTATCTATTACTCCGATCTCAACCTCTAGAGAGACAAGAAAGCTTTTGCCTATATCTTGCCTTGAGGACTAGGCGAATTTTCAAGGGGGGAGTATTGATAGAGTTTCAAGATAATGAGTGATCTGGGAAGATAGATATTATACATAAATATTATTTTTAATTTACTTTAGATATTTTCTATTTAATAATTGTTTAAATTTTATTTAGGTGTTTTGTTATTTAGATTTTATATAGATATTTAGATATTTATATATTTATCCAGATATCTAGTTATTTAGATTTTATTCAAATATTTATTTCTTTAGATTTTATTTAGTATTTTATATAGATAAATATTTTAGAAGATTTTATTCAATTTTATTTAATTATTTAGTTATCTAGATTTTATTCATTATTTTAGATTGTATTTACCATTAGAAATTTGCTTAGCAACTTAGAAGCAAGCATATCATGAAAAAAAAAAAACAGACTTTTGAGACTTTTAGTCTTTTGGAGATTTTCCTAAACATGGCTATCAAGAGAAATATAGAATGAGATTTTTGTTTTATATCATCTTGATGGATTTGTTTCTTCTATTTTCTTCTATCAGTTCTATGTTATCTTATTAATATCATGAAGTTAGATTTTGATTTCATATGTTAATAGAGATTTATCTTCCTTATCTCTCTCTACCCATCTTGGATCCTATCAAGATATGCCCCCCTGAAAGTAAAATATTTCCCAGGAGTTTTATGGCATGAACATGAATAGCTTGACAATTAACCTAGACTCGGACTTGAGAAAGTAAATGAGCTTTCAGCAGTTAGAAACTTTTGGCCCTTTATTTTATTTGAAAGACCACAGACAGTTTTCTGATTCTGCCAATGTATCCATATTAATATGGCTTGGGAAACTTTTGGTCTCCAATCTCCTCTTCTCGCCATAAAAATTAGAGTTATAGGGCTTGTTTGGCAACTTATTCTGAAAATAGTTTTTTATTCTCTAAAATAAAAAAACTAAAAAAATGTGTTCAGTAATGTATTTTTAGAAAGTGTTTTGGAGGAAAAAAAACCAAATATTTCTTTGGAAAATAAAAAAAATGAAAATTTCTTTTAGGTGTTTTAGAATTATTGTTTTGGAGAACAAATGAGAATACAAAAAGTACCTATTTTCATTTTTTCCCTTAAAACGTGTTTTACAAAACATTAGTTCTAAGAATAATAAAACAAAAACAGTTTCAAATAAGCCCATATATTATAGCTAGTTAATATGTTTCCCACATTTTTATTTCTTTAACATCAGTATAAATATAAAGCATAAACACAGATGCCAACTTTGAAGGTTTTATAACTGCTCTAAACCCATCTCTTATCTTTTTTGAAGTTATATCCATTAATTCAGCAATAAAGATGTTGCACAAAATGCTTATTGAAAAAAAAAAAAGAATGTTACACAAAATGATAAAAAGTATGTGAGAGGATTAGCACAACTGAAAACTGATAATTGAATTTTTCTTTAAAAAAAAAATCAAAAGTGAATAGGACTAGCAGTTTGCTGGGTTGTGTGCAGAGTGTAATAGTTATTTTTAATGTTCTTATTTGTTCATAATAAGATTTTATAGACATAACAAGGGTAGAAAACAAGAAAGACTCCCCCCCTCCCCAAAAAAAAAAATCCTTAAGACACCGTTTTATCATAATAGTTTCTCTGGGAAAGTAAATTATCAGTCTATTATTTCATCTTTACTACAGTTGCTGAAGTTCCTGAACTTCTGATTTTCTATTTTCCCCAAATTTTGCTACATTAGTCCCACTGATATGGTAGCAATATATTTTTTCTTTATTGCTGTAAGAATTGTCACTCGAAGTCAGTCATGAATTGCTGTAGATTAATAGACTGATATCATTTTCAGCATTTTGATGGAGAACAATATTTTATAGTGAGCGTTCACTCTCTTCTTATGTGTTAACTGCTGATTTGTTTTTAAATAGATTTGTTTTTTTAATGATTGATGCATATATTTTCATAGACGTATATGGTTCTAATTCTTGTTAATAACTCGCTCCATTAAAGAATATACAAGGGCAGATATGTTTACAAACTTAATATATACATTCAGTCTAGTGATGATAATGTTTACGGATCCTTTGGCAACTCTAATAATTCATGTCTGAAGTATTGATCCCTTTTGTTGACCAAATATCAGCCAGACCTTCTAACTCTTAGCAAATAAGACATGTTTGGAATATGACGAGGGCCTCTTCTTTATCATATTTAATAAAATATGGCTGTCGTCATGAGTAGGCTGTTGCTTTCTGAAATATTTGTTGGCCTGGAGCAAGTATTGCCAATGGGTCAAAAACAGATTTTCTCTTCAGAAAAAGCTCCCACTTGGGACCAAAGTGGCCCCTCCATCCTTCTCGTGTAGTGTAATGGGGAAGATATTGCTTAACCCTAATACGGGCTCTTTCACAGTATTCTAAAATTCTTTTATTCTGAGTTAAAATGTATTCTAGGCCATCAGGTCCATTGGAAGAGGGGACTGCAGAGGTAAGAAATGCCACCAAATAGAAAATATCTTCCTCTGGAATAACAACAGAAGTTTTATTGTCCCACCTGTAAGTACCATCAAATGTTAATACCATATCAAGGCCAAAGTATCGGTAGAGAGAAAATTGTGTTATGAACCATTACTTTGATTTATTTACTGGGTAGATCAGGACAGGGCCATTGCTTGTTTCTGTTAGAATATTTCCAAAGACAACTTCTGCAAATTTGTGTATTTGGCTTTTAGGGATAAAAAGATTGAGCCATGGGTGTGGAACATCCCACAAGCCTTTTGACCGCAACTTGACCTCAGAGACATGAACCCTGTCTAAGAAATCTACATATGTGACTTCTGTTAGAAAAAGTGTTGATGGGATGTAATTCAAGTGGGACAAGTGCTTCTCAACTTCCTGCATAAGAAAAAAAAAAAGAAATGAAAAAGAAGCAATCAAATAAATATCATGGGACAATGCACCTAGATTTGTTTTTTCGAAAAGGAAAAAAAGTAATAACTATATTTATTCATTTATGTTATATGCAAGAGACCATTCTTCTGGTTGAGGTGTTGCTTGCCTCACCTGATTTGCTTCATCATTATCTTCTGGGTCAAAGTATTTGGCCAATTCTAGGCAGAATAGAGTTCTTCCATCTGATTTGAACTTGCTAGCTTGAACAGGGTCTTGCGGGTTGAAGGATGATCTCCAGTTATTTAACAGACCAGTTCTGTTTATTATCACAAATCCTTCAATATAGTCGAATGCATTTTCTGCAAATATTAATAGCTCTTGGTCTCTTGTGAATGCTGTGAAATCCGCATATAGTACTCTGATCCACTTTACCTGGTTAAAATAGAAATTTCCTGTGATGACGATTGATGCTTTCAAAATTTTAAATTGAATAAGAAGGCTTTGTTTGTGGTATTGTCACCAAAGCATTACCATTGCTGGTGCTGGTTCCAGGGAGATTCTTGCTCGTGTTATTATGCCAAACTGACCAAGGCCCCCAAGTACGCTGTGAAAGAGTTCACTATTCTGCTCTTGAGAACAGTCTAACACCTCTCCTTTTCCTGCAATCATTTACTAACCTTTTATAATCATCCAAGAGGAAGTGTTTCTGTTTTTTCTTTTTATTTCCAATCAAACACTTTCCTATGTCACCAAGGTCTAGTTATCAAATGTATAACAAGGAACCTTGTGAAGCTATTACGTTTCAAGTGAATTATTAGTTCAGATGGGACAAAACAGAAACTGCGTGACTAGTTTTGTCCCCTCCATCCCTGACCTTGATTTTAGTTTTGGTACCAAGTTACGAACCTGTTACAATCTCCAGCTGCTGAACATTACTTATCTGGGGGCCATGACGAAATGCCTGCCCGCTGATACCAGCGTTGGACAGAGTGCCTCCAACAGTCAGGTGCAGGTAGTCTGTCCATGACTTTGGCGCTAACCCATATTTTAGACTTTCATGCAGGATGTTTATCCACAACTCGCCCCCGGAGACGTCCACATGTGGATGAGTTCCAGTATATACCTGCATTTCGGGGATCTTGATAGATTCCATGTTGATCACAACTCCTTCGTGAGCTTGTGCCTGGCCCTGGAGGGAGTGACCATGGCCTCTGGCTGCAACAGTTAGTTGTGAGCGAGGACCCATCTGCCAGATATGCTTTATAGTGGCTGCAATATCAGAAGCTGATTTTGGGTGCAGCACTGCCATCGGATGACGTTGATACCTGTTACCGAAGTCTCGGGCTGCATGGCTGACATCATCAAAATTGAGATGTCCTTCAAGGGGAAGTGTTCTTAAGGAAGAAGGGATGCTGGGAATGCAGAAGTTAAGCCCAATGGTTATACAACTAAGGAACAAGATCATGAAGCCTTTGATAAATAAGTTGTTACGTTCTCTAGAAAGGCCGAGTTTTGGGAATGTCATTTTCATGTTGGCAGCCAAAGGCAGAAGAAACAGAAGGAGAAGAGGTGATGGGGGGTGAAGGAGTTCAAAGGGTTGGGCCAGAATTTAAAGAAGTTATGGGTGGCTGAGTCCTCAAGTCAAACCATGTTCAGTTATGAGAATCCGTATGAAGACTGCCTACTACGTAGAAAGAGCTTTTGGGTTCTCGTATGTTTTCAAAGAGAAGCCGAAGCTATTATACAGAAGCCAATTTGATGAGGGAAAGTGACAACAAAGAAAGATTTCACAAATCTTTCTCACTTTACCGAACAGTTAAATCTTTCTCACTTTACCAAACAGTTGCAACCACAACACCATCTTTCCATCAAGGACAGGCATGTTTCTAACTTGTACTCATTAAACCAATTTTAACCATGCCCTTTCCCAATTTAGAAACAAGACCATGCTTTTTCCCCACAGTGCAGTATTCCCTAGCCTCTTAAGGACAAGTATGCCATACTCCTTCTCCGGTCTGTCTACCTTACACCCACGTATAAGTTGTTGGTGCTGTTGAAATCCATTGTTGTCAGACTGTAAACATCGCGAATGCTGCCATTAGATTGGATGAGAAGGACTCTCAGGGTCGGACTCGATTCATTCTTGAGGTGAGGAAGAAATGGAACTGGTGGGGTCTGTGTTGGACCATGAGGCACGTGAAGTCTTCGTTCATGTATGCTTGATTGGGACTCTGGCCCATGATTGAACCCCATGTAGGACCTTTGCTTGTGGGGTTTGGATAGAAGAGGAAGAAGAAACACTGAGAAAGAATGGAACTGTGGGTGGCAGCTTCAGGGAAAACATGGAAAGACTGGTGCCTACATATCTGCTGTGCTGTTGCACTACCACCACTGCACTGCCACTGTGGTTTCAACTCAAAATCCTCATTACCACGCTGCTATTGGACAACTTTTGAGTGATTCTCTTGTCCTTTTCTTCCTTATTTTATTGGGGAGCTGATAAATTACTTCGGTACTACTATTGACCTTTTCGAAAAATGACAAAACTTAGGTGCTATTATTTTACAATATTGCTACCAGATTTTTAATGATTTTTTTACTTGGGAAATCATGTTATCATACGAATGGTAACATTCACCCATGTGTCATGGGATTATTTGAGAACTTTTTAAGAACACTTTGTATTTATTCAGAAGATGGAAAAGATTTATCCCTATGTTAGAAAACGAACGTATGGTAAGCTGTATTATTTAATTGCAAGGTATGAATTGGATAACTCATTTTTGGCACTTAATGTGATACACAAACTCACAATGGCCCACCCTATTTAATTTACAATGAGGCATTTACCTTTAACATGTTGACATATCATCAGAAGTCTTTCTAATCTGTTTCCTTTTCCATGCAAGTTGCTTGTAGTAGCGAATGAAAAATTACCCCCTTAATACGTATTCCCTCTAATTCAAAGTTTGTTGAAATCTAATTTTTTTTAAACAAATTGCACATTTTTCTAATTATAGTCTCATTAAATGTTTAATATAAATATTTTAATAATAACAATTAAAATTTCAATGCATCATTTGTTTAAAAAGAATAATAAATAAAGTGTGCAGTTGAAAAATGTTACAAAAACTATTCAATATCTTATATTTTGAATTAAATAGAGCTTCTAGAAAACATTATATGAACAAAGGAAGTACTAATATACCTTTTGAAAAACTTGTAAGTAGAATTGATCAAGAAAAGATGAGTGAATTTTAACTGCAGACACAAATAACTATTGCTAGGTCACGCTCAACCAAAAAAGAAAGTCCCATTCAGGAGCCTTATTGAATGAGAGAATGAATTTGGCAAAATAATAACAATAATAAAAACAAAGAGAGAGACATTTCGTTATCGTGTGTTAATGAAGTATTGGGGATCATAGAATTGTTTCAATCTCATGTGGTCCTGGAAAGCCTGCTCTGGTCTCAGGAAGGAAACACACACCAATGGGCATTGGCTTGTAGGTTGAAGGGTCTGCCTCATTGGCTTCACATTCGCATTAAAACTTGATCACAATAATTGATAGGTTGTGCAGATCCATCTTTTTTTATTATTATTATTATATTCCTTAATTAAAATAAGTTGGTTATTTACTCTTCATGTATCCCATTCAATTAAACTGAACCGTCAGTGCAGGATATTCTATATAGCCCAGCTTCTTGATTCCATGCCAATAATAACAAGGATTTTTTCAACTTGATCTTGATATAAGATATCTTTGTCGGATTGGATATATTTGGTGGTGAAGAGTATATCTTCGATCCTCTAATTTCATAAAAATTATGAGTTTCATCTCTCAATTTTTTTTTTTTTGGGGTAGAAGAAAGTTCAAAAAGCTCTTCATATATTTAACGTGCCAATGTGAGAGCATTGACAACGTGATTTAATCCTATAACCTTATAGATTATAGAGTAAATTTTTAATCTCTTAATTTTATAAAGTATATATTTTTAGTTTTTTAACTCTAAGTCTCATGATAATTTTTTTGTACTAATCACTGATATTTTTTTAAAAAATTAAACATGATATGTTAATATTTAAAAATATTTTGTTAACATTTAAAGCTCGATGTCTTGTATTTTTTATTAATAAAATTAAAGTGTTAAAGAACTGAAAAATACTTTATTAGGCTTAAATAAAAATTCGTGCGAAGTTAACAGATAAAACAGTATATTTTTGCATGTTTGGTTTGAATAGTTTATTGTTATCATTTTTTAATGAGATTTGTTTATTATTTCATTTTAAAACAATATAATACAAAATAAATGAAGTTTTCATTTATTTTTTTAAGGCTAGTAAAAATAATAATATTTTAAAATAATAATTTAAACTTGAAAATTAAAAAATGATAAAAGAATAAAACCTGACCATTTAAATCAGTACGCAAATTTTGCACATCTGAACCAAAATGAATATTTATATCTATTCTTTATTTCTTTTTGGGAAAACAAAAAATTTTAAGTAAGTAAGGTCTTTAAACTCATCAAAATCAGGGCATACATTCAAGTTCAAAGAATGCTTATAAAAGTACTTACATCAATCATAAGATTTGATCTCACAATTTTGCAAATAATGAGCCAAATTCTTACTAACCGGTATTTAGTTTATTTATTTCTTATCAACAAAAATAAATTATGAATAAGGTTGTTAATTTGCTAACTTTACTTATTAATTTACTAACATTAGTTATAAATTATAAGATCTGTCAATAATTTACAATCAATATTAATAAATTAACAAGTAAAGTAAATAATTTAATAACTGATATTGTTATTTATGATTGAACCACATCTCAAATCTTGTATAATTATTAACATATCAATTTATATAATCTACAACTCATATTAATAAATTGTTAGCTAATAATTCTGTATTTTGGATAAAATTAATAAATGAAGGATGATTTGTCACTTACAAATTCGCCATCTTGCCCCAACACACATGGATGAGATTCATGTCGTTAATTTATGAGACCACTCAATTACACCTCCGACTTCCAATCCTGTGAGTGACAAAGAGGACCATCAAATTTGCACTCTTTTAATCAAAACAAGCACAAACACAAGAAATGGGTCAAATGCATGCTTGTTTCTGTACCTGCTACAGCAAAACCATTCTATGGAAAGTGAAATAATAAAGTTCTTAATCTTAAATTTTCTTGTCTTTTTTTTAATGATACAGCATATGCTATACTAAATACTGATTATAATTTGAGAAATACATATTATATTGATATGGGTTGATTATTATCACAAACATAGTTTTTAAAAGCAGTTAAAAATTGATTTTTATAGCAGTTTTACAACTAGTTTTCGTTGTCTACTTCCCGCACCAATTGTATCGGATATACAACCAGCATAGAAAAGTGACCCAAAAAAAAAAATATTTATTGGTCTTACTTACAATTAACATAAAAAATTGATATAATATTTTATTTTAACAAGCATTTAATTGTTTCTACAGCGGTTTATCATATAATTAGTGTAGAAATTCCGCTTTGCCGCAGCTCTTATTTATAAGTGGCATCCTCATTCCGCGCTCATCCGATGTGCTCATCACTTGTAAGGTGATATGAGCCTAAAAATTATTCGTAATATTGCATCCATCCAAATAAAAATATATAAAAATTATAAAAAATTAATATTAAATGTAGACTTTTTTTTATGCAGAGGATAGATGCTAGGGTAATCATTACTCCTAATGAGATTTAGACGGTTTAGATTTAAACTTTTATATTTGTTTAAATAAAAATATGTAAAAAACATAAATCTTTAAAAAAATTGCTTATTATCAATTTAGTCAGTACAAATTCAATTTAAATTATTTAATTTAATATTAAATTTTTTATAATATTTACAAATTGACTATTTAGATATATTCTATAACCTAAAATTAATATTATATTTTTTTTATAATTTTTATATATTTTTACTTTGATAAATATCATATTAAGCATATTTTACAAAATTTAAAATTAATAGTAGAGATCATTTGAAAAGAAAATGAAGGGTTCAGGTCACCTTACGGGATGAGGAGCACAAAATGAGGATCCTCTATAAGTGTCACCATCATCATTTTTTATGCCCATATGCCTATCAACTGTTAAAGAATGCGGAGTTGGTTTTTCTTCATTGCAGTAGAGGAAGCACAGTAAATCTGAACTGTCAAATTAGATTTGATAATTTAAATTTAACAGTTTTTAAAAGTATAAAATAATCTACATCATTAAAATTTATTTTAAACAGTTTAAATTTACAGTAGAGATATAGGTTAATAAAACGTATGTGGAGAGAAATCAAGCCCATATCCAGTAGAAAATATTTTTTGGCATTGGTGGACTCACTTGAAATTATAAATTATAAATTTGTTTTTGAAAAAAAAAAACACTAAAAGGTACATGGTTATGTGAATCTTTTGATGTACTTTTACCCCCCACTTTTTATAAAGGTTATTCCACAAACATTCATTTCCCTAGACATGTTACTTATTATGTATGAGATTTGATATGAGTAGTACTATTTATAATTTACAACTGATATGATTTATTACAAATTTTATATTTTATACTTTTTTAATTTAAAAATATAAGATATTTTAATTAAATTTCACTCTTAATAAAATAATTATTTATTTTTAAAAATAATCTTATCTTTATATATTTATTTCTATTTAATGTAATGTTTTATTTTAAAATAAATATAAAATAATTTATTTAATATAAACATTTAAAAAAAATAATTATATTTTAAAAGATTAAAAATATTTTATATTTTTAAACATATAACTTATTAAAAATATTTTTTATTTTTTAATGGTGAGAAATAATTTCAATATATTACATTTTGATAAGAAAGAAGGTGGAACAAGTACAATTATTGGTTGGACGTACTAGACTTCACATTTTCAAACTAGGCATTGAGTTGGAGTCTTATTGATAAAAATGTGACCTATCATAATAAATTTAAAATAAGAGTTAATATCAAATATTTTCTTTATTTTTTTATTTTATCCTTTGAAGTAATTGCATATAGATTAAAATAATACAATAAATATAAGAAAAATAAGTAAATTATCTTTTAAATTTTACATTCAACAATCCATAGACTCTAACTTAAACTTGTTTATTATATAAAATATTTTTTTAACTTTTAAAAACAGTGTAATTTGACTTTTGATATTTATAAAAATTAACTTTAATTGATACTTAAGCAAAAAATGACATTAAAAATTATAAAAGGAAACCAAAAACTTGTAATAAAGGATTAAAAATTACATATAATAACTCAAAAAATTACAGAAAAAGGGGGTCATTTTTTTTTTGGAGTTGGAGTTTTATTGATAAAAATGTGACCTATCATAATAAATTTAGACTAGTAGTTAATATCAAATACTTTCTCTATTTCGTTTTATTTTCCTTTCTAAAGTTATTTCATATTAATAAATTATATATTGATGAGAAACAAGGTAGAACAAGTACAATTATTGGTTGGATAAACCGTACTAGACTTCACATTTTTCAAATAACGCATTAAGTTGGAGCCTTATTGATAAATAAGCTGACCTATCATAATAAATTTAGATTAGTAGCTAATATCAAATACTTTCCCTATTTCAGTATATTTATCTTTTGAAGTAATTGCACATAGCTTAAAAAAATACAATAAATATAAGATAAATAAACAAATTGTTCACTATATTTTAGGTCTAATAACACTATAAACCCTAACATAAACTCATTTACTAT